ACAAGGCTGGTCGTGGACTTGGTGGCTTGTTTTAGGATCTCCAGACCCCTGTTTCTTCTCTTTCGTCCTTTCTCTCCCTGACTTGTCCCTCCTCCCTCCCTTTCTTCTCTGCTTTCTCCCTCCTTTCCTCTCTTGCTCCCTTTATCCTTACCTCTCTGCCTTCCAGACTTCCTTCCATTATGTATATATGCAATTAAAATTAACTTTCCCTCTTAGAAAATAGTTGAACTTTCTAATAAAAATTTTGTAACTTTTAATTTAGAAAAAATTTTAAATTTACAATAAATTTGCAAAAACATTAAAGAAATTCCTAATTATCCTTCACCCAGAATCCCTAATTATTAACATTTTACACCTGCTTTACCATTCTCTCTCTCTATCTCTCTCTATATAAATATACATATTTTTTTCTGAGCCATTTGAGAGTAAGTTACAGATGTGATGCCTCTTTACCTCTAACTACAGTGTTTATTTCCTAAACAAGGACATTATATTACAGAAACATATGGTTAGCAAAATCAGAATGTCAGCATTGACACAATACTATTATTTAATCTACAGACCTAATTCAGATTTTGCCATTTGTCTCAATAGTGTCCTTTTTAGCCAAAAAAAAAAAAGATTTACCATGGGTCTTAAATAACCCATAATGTTCCCACTGTGCTCTGCTGTCACCCATGCTGTGGAAGACCTGCCATCCAAGATCTGATTTACCCAGAGGTGTTGCTAGGTGGGTGTGGGCTGTCTGTACCAGGTCTCAGGGCAGAGAATAAAGCATTTGACATTGTCTGTCTTTAAGTGAAGTTCCAGGATATTGGCCTCTAGATGGTGGTTAGAAACTACCATCTCCCTAATTTTTCTTTCCAGCTCTGATCCCGAGCACAGGAAGAGTCCTAAGACACACTGTCCCCGAACACACAGCAGAGCTGTGTCATATATAACCGGTCACTTGAGCCCAAAGCCTACCATGTTTCTTAGCTCCATAGCTGCGTTACACCTGAGGCTGGTCACAGGGTGACTGGATAATGTCCCCTCTAAGTTGTAGAAAAGACACCTTACGCCATCACCCTGCCAGTGTTCCTTGGCGCCCTGTCTTATTAGCTGTGTGACATGGCAGGGCACGTCTCAGGCCTTAGTCTCCTTGTTTTAAAATTGTATGGAGAAAGTAATACTGATCCCAGAGATCCATTCTGAAGATCATAAGAGATAATATGTGTGTGTGGCACAGAGCTTGGCACGTAGCAAGAGATCCATAACGGTGAGTGATGGTTATTATCAGGTTTGGTGTCTTTGTTGTTGTTCTCTAGGAAAGGTGTCTGTTATTGAGCTAACACACTGGCAGGCATTCATCATCACACCCAGTGTTTCCCAGTTTTTCTCACTGTGAGATGTTTGTGAGACCTGCCTGCAGACTCCTGTGCCCTTTCCTGGAATTCTGGAGTTGGAGGATCCCGGGTGCCCAGGACTCTGTTTCTGACGAGTGTTCACAGTGCTCCGGGTGACTCTCAGGATTAGTAAAATGTGGCGCCCTTGAAGGGCAAGTTCGTTTTGTGGGAGAAGAGAAGGAGGGGCATTTTTGGCACAGAGTCCACAGTGTGAGCATCCTGGACACACCACCGTTTAGGGGTTCCTGCACCTGTGCCGTAGTGTGTTCTTCCCTCTGTTCTTGCCGTAATGTTTTTGTGTCAGAACTCAGTTATTGTATTATTCCTTTACATCTTATTTAATGATTTAATTCAGTTAGGTAATTTGTTCCATCTGTCTTCTACTTGACTTTTACCTTGTTACAGCCCCATATCCTATTGATATGTGTAAAAGTGACACAGGAAGCTTTAAAAGGGACATTTATTCTACTTTTAAGTTTTCATCCTCTTGAGTCAAGAGTTTGAGGTATTTTTTTCTTATTCTGTAATTGTCATTTGGGTAAGAATTTTTGACTCATCATTTCAATGAGAGGTGACTCATTGAGAGTAGTAATAACAGCACTGTGTCTGCCCCTGGGAAAATAGGTGTTTCAGGAAAAGAGAATATTGGAAAGATAAAATATGTGGAGCGTGACATCAAGTCTCAGACTGTGTTCTTGAAGAGAGTGACCGTTGTTTGCTTTGACCCGTGTGGGGGTGTTCGTCAGCCCTCCCT